GAGAGAGAGAGAGAGAAACAGACAGACAGACAGAGACAGAGACAGAGACAGATAGAGAGAGAGAAAGAGAGAGACAGAAAGAAAGAGACAGAGACAGAGACAGAGAACGTGAGTGATGGTGAAAAAAGGGGGTGGGGAGGGCGCTCGCTTGTGACGTTAATGAATCGTACCCAAATAGAGCGTTAGATTCAGAGATAGTATGTTGCAAAGGGAAATAGAGAGAGAGAGAGAGAGAGAGAGAGAGAGAAAGAGTGGGGAAAGGGGGGGGGGACGAGGGAGCTTGCCAGATTAATGAATGTACTGCACCCACGATTATGCACTACAGTGGGAAAAACGCATACGTCGTCATATTTTTTAATCTGCTGCGCTCGTGTGCGGGTTTTTTGTTTGTTTCATTTGTTTTGTTTCGTTTTCTCTTTATGTTCATTTTTTTCGTTTTGCTTTTGTTTGGTTGGGGATAGATAGATAGATAGATAGATAGATAGATAGATAGATGGATAGAAAGATAGATAGATAGATGGATAGAGAGATAGATAGATAGATGGATAGAGAGATAGATAGATTGATAGATAGATAGATAGATGGATAGAAAGATAGATAGATAGATGGATAGAGAGATAGATTGATAGATAGATAGATAGATAGATAGATAGATAGATAGATAGAGAGAGAGAGAGAGAGAGAGATAGAGAGAGATAGAGAGAGATAGAAAGAGATAGATAGATAGTAGAGATCAAGTGGGTGGGAACGGAGAGAGAGAAAGAGAGAGAAAGAGAGAGACAGAGAAAGAGAGAGTGGGAGGGTAGGGAGGAGAGAGAGAGAGAGAGAGAGAGAGAGAGAGAGAGAGAGAGAGAGAGAGAGAGAGAGAGAGAGAGAGAAGAGAGATAGAGACAGTATATTTTCACTGTAATATTCTTTTTTTTTTTTTTTAGGGAAGTACTGTATGAGTCCGCTTTTTAACCTGTAAAAGTATATACAAGTCTCTGAAATATTGCTCATAGCTGATATGGAGAAACATTTGAAAAAGTCAAACTACATGAACCTTAGTTTTAGGAAGCATTTACGGCACTTACAACACAATAATGTCATGTCTAGTGTCAAAAATCAAAGATGTTACGTGAGACCAACATACAGAGATAAGAAGGAGGAGAGATAACGGCGATAGATGACAGACAGGAAATAAGGAGTAAACCACACTAGAGCACCCGCCATCTACCCACTCCTTGAGGGGGGGGGGGGTTGGAGGATCCCAAAACCTTGAACATCCTCCATAAATATTCAATAGAATATACGTAGTCTTTTAAAACCCATTTGAAAACAGATTTACCTAAACAAAGTCTCAAATTCGTAGCCCGCAGAATAATTCATAGATTTTTCGACCCGTTTAGATTAACGTTTAGTTTTAATATTAATGATAATAAATAGCATTTAGATATATGCTGCACATTTCCATTTTCACAAAAAAATATACAAGGCTATAAAAGTTCATGAACGGTCATAATAAAATTGAAACTTGAATAACTAGAAACATTCATTAAAACATTCGTTCTCTGTAAATAGAAAAATAATCCCGTTCTCTATAAATAGAAAAGCAATCCCGTTCTCTCTCTCTCTCTCTCTCTCTCTCTCTCTCTCTCTCTCTCTCTCTCTCTCTTGCTCTCTCTCTCTCTCTCTCTCTCTCTCTCTCTCTCTCCCTCTCACGTTCTCTCTCTCTCTCTCTCTCTCTCTCTCTCTCTCTCTCTCTCTCTCTCTCTCTCTATTTCTCTCATTCTCACACGTTATTTTTTCAGTCTCACAGTCTAGCATACACATGCATAATATATAACAGTTCATCATAGTGACCGATATACACTTGTAAATAAGAAATGCTTCAGCTGTTGATTTTTTTTGAGAATGTAAATTGTTGGGGCACATCATATCTTATTTGGGAGTTTGTTCCATACCTGGGGACCAAAGAACAAAAAGGAACGCTCCCAGAATGTTTTGTAATTTTTGGGGGGGAGTTTTAAGAATTACATTGTCAGGGGATGATCTAACGGCTCAGGGTGGATGATTTTAGTGCGACCCGCTTGTTTTTCTCACTCACCAAATGTGGCCATTGTTAAAGAAAGCGCTGCCAGGTCTCTGGCAGGAAGGAATGTGTAAGAGAAGCCTATCTGCCGTCAGTTAGTAAAAATATAGTATAATATGCAGTTTTTGCAAATTTTACAGGAGAGCCAAAAGACTGAATATAGTTGCATAGAAAAGAAACGCTGCAAACATTCAAATCAATACTATAATTTTGATAATAACTTCCCTATTGTCTCTAAAGCAAATGTTTTATCGGTAACAAAATTCAGCCTTTTTTGGCTCTTCTGTAAAACTGTAAAAAGACTAACACCCCCCCCCCCCCCCCCCCCCTGAATATCACTGTATTATTTAAAATGACGGCAGCTGTGTTATGAAGAACCCGTCTCGTTTTGAGTTGCTATTAATACAGAATGAGAAGGTTTAATCAGTTGTAGTTTACACTCTCTAAAAACCGTCATTATTGAATACATATTGTGCCCCACTCCCCCCCCCCTCCAAGCCAGCAAGGCTGGTTTAAGCATGTGGGAGGCCTCTGGACCGCTTGGAAAGGGGGGG